TCGGCCAGTTCTTTCACTGAGAATCCATCTGCCCAGCTGGAAGGGCTTGAAGTACGAAATGAAGCGAGAGGTGCTGGAGGCAGAGCTTTTGTCACCCCCATCTTCCCAGCCGGCACCAGCAGGGACGCCGGGACTGCCGAGGCAGGAGAAATGAAGGCACCGAAGTGCCGCCAGCAGCAGCGCTGCACCAAGCGGGCTGCCATGGTGGAAGGCCGGGGCTGGTAACCGGCTGGGGGTCAGCGCCACATGTCAGGAAAGCTGTGAATGAAAGAGAAACAGTTTAGGTACAGGAAAAGTTAATAAACACATGGTGGCCAAATTCTGGTAAGGGTTGTGTTCCTGCCTGTGGCAGGCATTGGAACTGGACATCTTCAAGGCTCCTTCCAACCCAAAGTACTCTATGATTCTATGACTAGCAATACTGGATGCGAGGGAGCAATAAAAGGTTTCTGATGATCAGCTGACAAAACACCGCTGTGGCAGAGGCACTTCCCTGCTGGGGCTAAACTCCTGTCAGATCCCCTTAGGGGCTGCTGTACTCGTGTGGCTTCCCAAGGTGGCTCGCAGCGGGTCTGGTGCACACCCAGCTCTGCACCAGCCCTGACTGGGCCTCACCTGTCCCTGGCGGTGTTCAAGGCCAGGCTGGACAGGGCTTGGAGCAAGCTGGTTTAGTGGGAAGTGTCCCTGCCCACGGCAGGGGGTTTTAACTGGATGAGATTTAAGGTCCCTTCCAACCCAAATGGGTCTGGGATTTCATGATTCCCCTCCCCGCAACTCCCGGTTTCCCCACACCACCTGCTGGGTTCCCACCTTCCCCTGCTCTGCCCGCGCCCCTCACAGGCCCGGGGCCTAGCCCCGCCGCCGGTCGATTCACCTTAGAGGCCCCAGACCCCGAGCCCAGCCCTCCGCCCCGGGCTCTTCCCCTCAGGGCCCCGAGCCCGGCTCTCCCCGGCCCGGTCTGCCCCTCCCGCCGCCGCCGCGCCTGACCTCGCCCGCCCCAGCCGCTCGGCGGGCCGGCACGGAGGCACCGCACGCATGTACGCCGGCGCAGCCTGATTGCGTCATACACAGCAGCGAGCGCCCATTGGTTTAGGAGGAGGCACTTCCGGTGCGCGGCGGTAGTGGGTGGTGAAGGTGCTGTGGTCGCCATGAGGCGGCGCGGGTGGGGGTGGGTTTGGCTTTGTCGTGTTGTGGGAATGGTTTGGGTTGGAAGGGACCTTAAAGCCCATCCAGTTCCAACCCCCTGCTACGGGCAGGGGCACCTTCCACCAGACCAGGTTGCTCCAAGCCCCGTCCAACCTGGCCTTGAACCCTGCCATGGATGGGGCAGCCACAGCTTCTCTGGGCAACCTGTGTCAGGGCCTCACCACCCTCACAGGGAAGAACTTCTGCCTCAGATCCCATCTCAGTCTCCCCTCTGTCAGTTTAAAGCCATTCCCCCTCGTCCTGTCCCCACCTGCCCTTGTCAAAAGCCCCTCTCCAGCTTTCTTGTTGGCCCCTTTAGGCCCTGGAAGCTGCTCTAAGGTGTCCCTGGACCTTTCTCTTCTCCAGGCTGAACAAGCCCAGCTCTCTCCGCCTGTCTCCACAGCAGAGGTGCTCCAGCCCTTGGGACATCTTTGTGGCCTTCTCTGGACTTGCTCCTGCAGCTGCACATCCTTCTTACGTTGCGGCCCCAAAGCTGGATACAGGGCTGCAGCAGGGTCTCAAGAGAGCAAAACATGGGGATAGGGTGGGTGCGCTCAGGCTGCTGTGAGCATGAGGTGTTCTTAGGGTTGCCTCTCTACAAGCTCCAGTGGGGCTGAGCCCCCACGCTGATTCCTCCATCGCCCTCCTCCTTCCTCAGACCCCTTAAAGCCCTATCACGTGCAGCCCCTTTGGCTAGAGGGCTTCTTGTGGGGTGGGTTTCCCCACAGCCCTCCCCAGGCTGCAGGGCTGACGGAGCAGCCACGTCCTCCCTTTTGCTGTTGAGGTTGTCACCAGCAGAAGTTACCCATGTTCTGCCTCACCCGCCCCCTGTGTTTTCTTTCCTGCTCTGTCTGTGTCCAAACAGATCAGGGCCTGGCTGTGAGAACTAATAAAAGGCAAATAAATTTGAGGGTTGCCAGGAATGAGGAGGGGCAGCTCAGTCTTGAGGGGGTCAAATAAAGTGGGGACTGATTTATGAGCAGGGTATTTTCCGCAGCTCGGGGCCTTCATGTTTGCTTTTGGGGGTGTTACCCCTGCTTCCAGCACAGGGTGAGGAGTTGGCCTGAGAAGCACAGCTGTAGCTGTGTGGGATGTGATTTCCCCAACTAAAACTCTCCAAGCTTTTCCCTTTCTTGTTCCCAAAATGGCCTCACTGGATTTTATGTCTGTCAGGAAAGAATGGAGCCTGCTCGGGGTTTACACAGGGCACTTGAAACCAGTACTTAGAGGTCTTTACACTGGTTTTTGGTTGCTGCTTAATCCTAAGTTTAACCTGGTGCACCCTCCTGTGCGACCCAGTCTCTTGTGTTGGGCATTGTCCCAGTTTCTGCTCTCTACAGGTGTCCAGGGCAGTGATCCTGCTTCCTGACCAGCTTCCCCCCTCGGGATCTTGAGCTTCACCATCCCATGGTCACCACAGCCAATGCTGCCCTGACCTTCTCATGTCCACCAGCTCCATCCTGGTTTGTAAGTGGGAGGTCCAGTGGAGCACTTATGGCTCCTCAGTTGCCTAGTTCTGGAGCCATCTTCCAGGCCCTCCATGGAGTGGTGCATCCAGTGCTGGACCCACAAGTCAAGAAGGGCACAGACAGAGTGGGAAGAGAGCCAGCATGATGGTCATAGGGCTGGAGAACCTGCTCTACAGGGGAAGATGGAGGGAGGTGAGTCTCTTCTCCCTGGAGAAGGCCTCTGGGTACCTCATCCCAGTGGTAGAGGCTTTCAAGGAGCCATGAGAAGAAGACAAGGGACAGTGGGTACAGTGAGAGGTTTCATCTCAACTTAGGTTATACTGGAGTCATCTCCCTAGAAGAACCTCCCCAGGGGTGTGGGGGGGAGGTTCTCAAGATGAACATGGGGTGCAGGACAATTCTATAGAGGGTCCCTTCTCCATGGGAGTTTGGACCTGGTTGCACCTGGATCTTTCCAGGGCCAAGCTGGGCTGTCCCATAGATCTGCGATCAAGTGTCCATCCCTGGGGACTTCCCACTACCTGTGACCTGGGTGCGCTTGTCCCCGCTTGATCTACAAGCTGCTCTATGGCTTCACCAGCCCCGCAGCTCTGAGCCTGTCGGGTGGCTTTGGGCTTCCACTGGCTGTGCATGGCAGTGCAGGTGGTTGAACAGAGGGTCATCTGCGGGACAGGGTCCCTTAAGGTGCTCCTGGAGGTTCCTGCTTGGCTTCGGAGAGGGCGGCCGCTCCCAAGGCTGGTGTTTGGTCAAACCCACCGTGTTTGCTGAGAGCTACGGGTGTCTGCATTGGCAAATGCTTCACCCGCCCAGCCATAAAACATCACTGGGGGGCCGGAAAGCCCCGGCTGTGGGGCAGGGTGGATTCTTCATCCAGCCCCATGGGAGAATGGGGTTGAGAACCCACCGTGGTGGCACCCTGCGTCCCCACCAAACCCGGGTCAGCTCTGTGGTGGTCACCTGTAAGAACATCGATTCCAACTGTTAACCTGGCACTGCAAAGGCCACCACTAAGTCATGTCCATTAGTGCCACATCTACATGCCTTTGAAATGCCTTGAGGGACGGTGCCTCCACCACTCCCTGGGCAGCCTGTGCCAGTGCTTGACAGCACTCTGGGGAAGGCATTTCTTGTAATACCCACTCTGTCCCTCCCCTGGTGCAACTTGAGGCCGTGTCAGTCTTGAAAGAGACTGGTTGAAGGATGGACTTAACCTGACTACAGCCTCCCTTCTGGCAGTGGTAGTATTGTAGAGGGCAATAAGGTCCCCCCTGAGCCTCCTTTCTCTCCAGACTAAATCCCCCCAGCTCCCACAGCCATTCCCCATCACACTTATGCTCCAGACCCTTCACCAGCTTTGTTGCCCTTCTCTGGACCCACGCCAGCACCTCAGTGTCTCTCCTGTAGTGAGGGGCCCAGAACTGACCACAGGATTTGAGCACGGTGTCACCAGTGCCCAGCACAGGGATGATCATTGCCCTGGCCCTGCTGGCTACGCTACTGCTGATAGGGGCCAGGATGCCATTGGCCTTCTTGGCTGCCTGGGCACAAGCTGCTCATATTCAACTGTCGACCAACACCCCAGGTCCATTTCCATGGAGCAGCTTTCCAGCCACTCTTCCCCAAGCCTGGAGCATTGCATGGGGTTGTTGGGACCAAGTACAGGACCTGGCACTTTGCCTTGTTGAATCTCACACCAGTGTCCCCAGCCCACTGATCTGGCCTGTCCAGGTGCTTCCTACCCTCCAGCAGATCAACACTCCCTGCCAACTTGCTATCATCTGAGGGTGCACCTGATCCCCTCATCCAGGTCACTGATAAAGTCACTAAACCCAACACTGAGCCCTGGGGAACACCACTTGTGACTGACCACCAACTGGGTTTAGCTCTCTTTAAGCCCAGCCATCCACCAGTTCTTTAGCCATCCAAGCTGTGAGCAGCCAGTTTCTCCAGTATAATACAGTGGAAAACAGTGTCAAAGGCTTCATTTGGCCCTATAGGAGAACAGGGCTGAGAAACCCAACCTGGTGTCACCCTGTGTCCCCATCAGACCTGGCTCAGCTCCTTGGTGGTCACCTTGGCATGGTGGTACCCAGGACCAGCACCCTCCATGGGGACGCTGTGGTTCAGCATCACCCCTGTCCTCATTTCACCATCCCTGGGTATGCAGTGGCCTTCCATGGGGGACCCCCCTTGCGGGGGGACCTCAACCCTGTGGCCTCTCTTCTGCTGAGCAGTGCTGGGCCAGCTGCTGTGGTGGCGTGGGGGTCAGAGGGGGACAGACTCGGCTCCTGGCTGGATTTGTCCCCTGGGAATTCCCCAGTGTCACAGGGGGAAGTGTCACCCATGGGAACGCCCGTGGTGGCCGTGCCAGCACATCCAGGGCAGATCCCATAAAAGGACTCTCGGCACCGGGTTAGGCAGGAGGCAGGATGAGGCCGTGCCAAGTACTGCTGCTGCTGCTGGGGCTGGCCAGAGCCACCACACCGGAGCCAGATGGATCCACACTGGGATCGGCTGGATCCATCCCAGTGTCCCTGCCAGCGCTCTGGACCGTGAGCTATGAGGACGCCGTCTCGGCAGCCGTGGAGCTGCTCAACACAAGGGTCATCACTCCCTATGTCCTGCGGCTCCGGGAGGCGCAGCCCCAGCCCGGCTGGGTGAGTGCTGAGCTCCTCCATCCCCACTGCACCCCGGTGGTGCAGGATCCATCCCTTTTCAGGGCTGTATCGTCCCGTTTTGGGGCTGGGTCTGACCCACTATGGGGATGCTGCCCACCCAAGCTGAGGATGGACCTGGCCCATCTCCAGCCTGGATGTGGCTCCTCCTGGGGCTGGATCCATGAACCAAGTGGGTCCCTGATGGGTCCTGTCCCCTCTCCCAGCCTGGGGACCTGCAGCGCCCGCAGGAGCTGAGCTTCAGCGTGGAGGAGACCTCGTGCCGGGCACCGGGGATGGCCGCTGCCACCTGCAAGAGCCGCTGGTTTGGGGTGAGGCTGCGTCCTGTGGGTCCCCAACAGGGAACCCGAGGCACGGGGAGCGGGGTTCAGGCTCCTCTCAGCCTCATCTCCTCCATGTCCCACTGTGCTTCCCCACAGGCAGTAAGCTGGTGCCATGGCTACGCCTTCCTGGAGCAGCAGCAGCCCATGGTGCAGCTGTCCTGCGAGAAGATGCCCATCACGGTAGGGAGATGTCCCCACTGCCCCCCCTTGGCTTTGCTTCTCTCCCCGGCTGCTGTGGGACACGTCCCCACGGGGGTCACCCAGACCCCCTCGCCATCCCCCTGGGGTTTGACACCACTGCTTCTCCCCCCAGCTCGGCCTGATCCGGAAATCCGGCGTCAAGAACTTTCTCGGCAGGATCCAGGAGCGATTCAAGGGCTTCTTCCAGTGCAGCCAGGTCTGGATCCACGACAAACTCAACCTGAAAAAGCCCAGATCCTGAGCGGGTGATGCCGCATTCCCCCTGCCCCGTGATCCCACCCGGGTGCTCCGATTCCAATAAACATCCCTGCAATGATCCCAGTGTCGTTCCAGTCCTGTGGGTCCCTGCAATGCACCGTCCCTTGCTATGCCCCAACAGGGAGTGGAAATGATCCCTGGTCCCACAACCTCCCCAATGCCCAGACAAAGGGCTCCAATGGCTGGGGTCACCCCCTGCAGTGGGGCTGTGTCCCCAGTGGGGACTGCCAACACGCTCAGGACCCCCCCATGCCGTGTCCCCCCCCCAGTAACTGCCGCTCTGTGGGCTGGGGCCAGGCGTTTCCGGAGGGGGGATGTTCCCCAGCCTCCCGGAGCAGGGCATGGATAAAAGGGGATGCAGGGGGTGGATGTGCGAGAAGGATGCCGAGCTCTTGGGCACTGGTGCTGGTGGTGCTGGGGGGGGCCTGCGCCCTCCCTGCCCCGGCCCCCCTGGCCTACACCCAGGCACTGGCTCAGGCTGTTGACTCCTACAACCAGCGCCCCGAGGTGCAGAACTCCTTCAGGCTGCTCAGCGCCGACCCCGAGCCCGCCCCGGTGAGTGCCACCCCACAGGGACCCCCCCACTGTGGTCCCCGACTCAGGCTGCCCAGTGCTGACCCCATCCCCTGGGGACATCAGGGGGACACCAGGATCTATGCATGGGAAGGGGTTTAGAGGTTGCAGGGGATGATCCTCACTGGACCGGCTCTAGGTGCCTGAGGATGGGTGTTGTTTCTCCCTGGTCACCCTGTCCCCATCCCAGAGCATCCAGCTCAGCTCCCTGCAGCGCCTCAACTTCACCATCATGGAGACGCAGTGCCCAGCGCGCTCCAGAATCCGCCCCGATGCCTGCGAGTTCAAGGAGGACGGGGTGAGGGACAAGGGGAGTTCTTGGGGGGATGTCACCTCCTATGGGGTCCCCAACCTGGGGCCATTGCCCCCTGCACATCCCTGCGCTCAGCCCCTGCTCTCCGCAGCTCATCAAGGACTGCTCCGCACCCGTGCCCCAGCCTGGCGGCTCCGTGCTCGGTGTCACCTGCGTAGACTCCAGCACAGACGTGAGTTGGGGGATCCCAGGATGCTGCAGGGCCTGGAGGGGGACGTGGGGGTCCCCTCACCCTGTGACTCCTCCTCTCCCCACAGCCCATCCGGGTCAAGCGCTTCTGGCCGCTGCTGGTAACAGCCATCAGGACGGTGGCCGCTGGTGTTGGCATGTTCAAGTCCTCCAAGGGATGAGCCCCCCCTCGAGGGGCTGCCATCTCCTCCCATTCCGCTTTGGTGTCCCCCTTTCCCCAAATAAAGCTGCTTCCCAGCCCCACTGTGCCTTTTCCTGCCGCTATCACCCCACTGGGGACTGGGTACATGGGGACAGGATGGGGGGTGATGTTGATGGAGGAAGGTTCTGGGGTGGGGAGCTGAGTCAGCTCCCCCACATGGGCCTGGCATCATCCGAGCCCCACGGCACTGGCAGTGGCCTTATGGGGGGGTCTTGCCTCCTTGGGACTGAGGCAGCACCCCAAGAGCAAAGGGTCCCCCTGGAGCTTGTGCCAGCCATGGGGTCCCCATGGGGTGCGTGTGGGGCACAAACCCAAGGGACTGTTGGATCATGTGGGGTGTGGGGGAACAAGGGATTACATCCCCAGTGGCCACCGGAGGAAGGGCTGCAGCCATGACTGTGGTCTGGCCACTTGTGGGGTGCAGGGGTCTCCATGCCCCAGTGTCCCCATGCCAAACCACCTGTGACGGCACTGGTGGCACAGCTGAGGCCAGTCCGTGTGCCCCCACAGGGCAGGGGTCAGTCACCGGGGACCCCTGGGAGCTGAATTCCCCATGGCCCTTCTGTTGTTCTCCATCACCCCCCCATAGGGACGATGTGAGCCCTCTTGTATCTCCATGGGTAGCCCATGGCCCTGGTGCCTCCCCCACCGCCATCACCATCGTTTTGGGGTTACAAACCGCTGTGAGGACAATGATACCATGGGGGTGATGTGGGGCAGGATGGGAATGGTGCCTTTTTTGGGAGGCAGGTGCCCTGGGGGCTCCCTGGAGCAAAGCTGAGCCCTGTCCCCATTGTCAACCCCATGTCCCTTCAGGTCCAAGCTCTTGATCCCCAAGGTGAGGACATTGGGAAGTATAGGGCCACCCATAGGGATGATGTGGGCACTGGAGCCCTCTTCCCATGTGCCTCAGTTCCCCCCCCTGCACCCCATGAGGCAGCCAGGAGCCGGCTCACACACACGGGCCATGCACAGCCCCTTTATTGGTTCAGCCCACGCGGATGGTCAGATCGGCTCTGCCGCTGATCCTGATCTTGGGCCTAAAGCGCCGGATCTTGCCCAGGAAGCGCCCGAACCGGCCACGCTGGACCAGCACCGGCTGCCGGAGGGATAACGGGGTCATCGGGATGCTCCAGACCCTGCATCCCACCCAGTGATCCCGCACCTTGGACACTGCACCCAGGAACCCACATGCAAGGACCACACAGCCCAGAGACCGCACCCAGGATCCCTGTACCCGGTTCCCCACACCCGGTCCCTGCTTCCACCACCCCTACAGGACCACGCACCCAGCACCCTGCACCCATCAGCCCATGGGTGCCCCAAGCCCCCCCCATCCCACCCTCCACTGTGGGCTGGAGTTATCCTGGTGGGATGGAGACATCGGGTTGTCCCTTCTGGGGATGGCAGACCCCAAGATGTGGGGAGGGAAGGAGGGAGGAAGGACCCTGACACCCATGGGTGCCCCCCCCCACTGTCAGTGGGTGCTGCCCACCAAAACTCACATTGGAGGAGGCATCATTGCAGCTCAGGTCGATCTCAGGCGAGCTCTGGAAGAACTGCACCGGCCCTGAGCACTCCCTGATGACCTGGGGGGTAAGACATGACACCCGGGGTCACCCCAGGGCCCCCGCTGGGGATACCCAGGACCACTGTGGGTGTCCTCCCCCCATCCCCATCCCCATCCTCACCCCATTCTCCTTGAAGTCACAGTCTTCGGGGTTCATGCGGGAGCTGGGGCTGCACTCCGTCTCCATCATGCTGAAGTTGAGCATCCGCAGCGTGGTCAGCTCGAGGCCCTGTGGGGACACAAGCATGTGTGTGGGTCACTAAGTGTGGGGATCATGGTAGGGGGGTCCCTGTGGGGTGGTGGCACTCACCGGGGCGGGCTCGGGGTCGGCGCTGAGCAGCCTGAAGGAGTTCTGCACCTCGGGGCGCTGGTTGTAGGATTCGACGGCCTGAGCCAGTGCCTGGGTGTAGGCCAGGGGGGCCGGGGCAGGGAGGGCGCAGGCCCCCCCCAGCACCACCAGCACCAGTGCCCAAGAGCTCGGCATCCTTCTCGCACATCCACCCCCTGCATCCCCCTTTTATCCATGCCCTGCTCCGGGAGGCTGGGGAACATCCCCCCTCCGGAAACGCCTGGCCCCAGCCCACAGAGCGGCAGTTACTGGGGGGGGGACACGGCACGGGGGGGTCCTGAGCGTGTCCCAAGTGCTGGTGTTGTCACATCTGGTCCCTACCGGGGACATGGCCCTGCTCCCCCCAGGGAGCCCCTTGGGCGGAGTTGTGGGACCCCATTGCTGGTGTTGGGGCAGCAACACCAAACCCCAGGGGTTGCCCCATCTCTGTTGCCCAACTCTGTGGCGTGTTCTGCTGCCCCCCAACCTGTGTCAGCCCCACACACGCACACATATGACCCCAAAACATCTTTATTCCAGCTGCACTGGGGATGGGGGGCGGCGGGGTGTCCCCAGGAGGGATGTGCCAGCGCGGGGCCCGGGACGCTGTGGTGGCTGTGAGGATGATGATGATGATGATGGGTGACCTGGGTTGGTGCCAATGGCTCGTGGGGTACCAGGGGAGCGGGGCTGGGTGCTGCTGCTGGGCTGTTGTGGGAGAAATAAGGGTGAGCTTCAGTCTGCAGCCAAAACCTGTCCCCAGAGTGGGGGGGACACATCCCCACCACTGCGCCCACCAAAGGATTGGGGACACGGAGCCCTCACCGGCTCCTTGCCGCACTCCACCATTGACAGAGGCACGTCGGGCAGGAAGGCAAAGACAGAGACCTGGGCCGTGCACCGCTGCACCTGGGGACACAGACCCTGAGCACCTTGGGGACACCTTTCTGTCCCCTCCGTGTATCGGGGGACCCTGTCCCACTCTTACCCTGCCCGGCCGGGCTTGGCAGCCGGCCCCACGGCGGTCGGGGAGGTTTTTGGGGCAGGCGGGGTGCCGGGCGGTGAAGTTAATGCTGAAATGGGTACCCCAGTCGAACGTCTGCAGGGAGAACAAGGACCTTGGTGGCTTCCCAGTGCCGATGGGGAAACGGGGCCCAGCGGGATGGGTGACGGAGCTGCACCCCCCCATTGCCCACCCCGCTCCTACCGTCCTGGCGACTCCCAGCATCTTCAGCAGCCGCAGCTCCTGCCCGTGGGTCTCCAGCACGGAGCGTGCCAGGTCACGGGGAGTCGGCAGCGCCGGGGGCACGGCGGCACCCGCGGCCAGCAGCACGGCTCCCAGCACCAGCGCCATGCGGCCGGCAGCTCGGGATCGGGATCGGGATCGGGAATGGGGAATGGGCTGTCGGCTCCGCGCGGGGCCCCAGCTCCTCCGGCTTCGCCTCCAGGATAAACACTGGGCCCCGCTGCCGTGGGGAAGGGATCGGGTTGCCGGTGTTTTCCTTGGCCGGGTGCCGTGGTGGGTGCCTGCCCGGACCTGGCGGAGATGCGGGGCTGATCCCCCCCAGCGCGGCCCCTTCCCTCCGTGCAGTCCCCATTTCACAGCGTGACAGCACAAGCCGTGACCCCGGATGCATCCAGCGCCCGCTCCGCTCCTCCCGAGCCGGGTGTGAGGGCATCCTCCAGGCTCCTATGGAAAGAAAACCCAGGAACTGCCTCTCCTCTCCCTGTTTCTGTACAGTTACGGGGATGTTTTTAAACCCCTCTCACTGTGCTCAGAGCTCAGACTTGTCTAAACAGCCCGGCCTCAGATGGAGATCACGCCATCACCCTTCCCACCCCACTTGGAAACGCCACAGCCACAGCAGCTGGCCAGGGGATGAATTTCTCCTGGGTTTAATATAAAAACGGTTAAGTGACAGAAGTGCCCTCCTGGGGTATGGACACAGAGGGGGAAGCAGCACAGAAAAAGCCTGGGGCTCGTTCCTCCAGAATTCAGTACCTTTCTGTGCCCTCATGGACACTTGGCTGAAGGGCCAGGAGCTCCCCTTTGCCTTTGGTTCATCCACAAATGGAAAGCAAAGCAATGCCTGGGAAGGAAACCCGGAAGCCTGGCTGGGGGACAGCTGAGTCCCCTGGGACCACTGTGCTTTGAGGACCAGCTTGGGAGCCCGTGGGTCTCCAACAGCCCCGGCTTCAGCAGGTCTTCAATGATGCTGCTCCTGCAAGTGTGTCTGATCCAGTATTCATGTCTTTATGGACAGGAAGCCCCTCTGGGAGATGCTGGGAGGAAGAAGGGATGGAAGGTGGGACAGTGGCCTACTGGGAGAGTTGATGCACGTGCTTCAAAGCCTCCTCTGCACAAGTTGACCATCAGGACACGTCCTGAAGAAGATGCTATGGGGTTGGAAGGAAGAGGCAATCCCCATGGCTTCCCCCAGCAGCTCTCAAGCTCAGGGATCGCCAGCAGAGACAGAAAACAGTGTGGTCCTTCCCCACAAGAGGATGGGGGTGCCTCATCTGCAGAGACCCCGTCACAGCTTCAGGTGATGGCATGGCACTCACAGCCTGAAAAGCAACTTCATTTTCATTCCAGTGTTCATGGCTGGTTTCTTTTTTAGCAGCATGGAACCCCTAAATGAATAACCCAGCAGCTGATGTACATGGAAGAAATAGATACATACTGACAAACCACATTTATAGCCAGATACGTTCATTATATATACCTAAAATATACATAGTACCTGAATATATAGACATCCACATATACACCCAAAGTTCAAATCCCGAGTGGGGCTGGGAGTCAGGTAGGAACAAGGTGGGGAGGCTGGATTTGGGGACTGGGGTGAACATCCAGCTCCTCCCTGCTTGGAGCTGGGCAGGGGACAGGTTCCGAGCCCCCCAACACACTGGGATTGAGCAGGACAAGGGGTGAAAGCCTCATCCCTTTGCTGCTGCCGGTGGGATTAGTGTCAAGTTCCTCCTGCCCAAGCAGGCAGGGGTGGCAGCTGCCTGTCCCTGCCTGCCCATGGCAGTGGAAGAGGTATGGCTTTGCTGAAGGGAGGACATGGGCATGAAGGCAGCCCCGGAGGGATGGCAGTTCACAGTCATGCAAGAGACGTGCTGAAGAGCTGATGCAGGCAAGGACTTTGCAGGGAGGGAGCTGCTGTGCTGCCTGCATGCTGCTGCTTTGGCCCTGGCAGCGCTCGGCCTCACGTCTTGGTCCTGGCACAAAACCCACTGTGGGCTTCCAGAGCTTACACATTCAACGCTTGATTTGCTTGCCCTTCCTGAAAGATACTGGCCACGCTCTGCTCCAACCGCCACCGAAACATCGACAATATCCAATAATCATAAGTTAAATAATACCTTGGCCTGTTTCCTATTTTGAAACCCTATGACTGTTGCTTAGTGTCGTTTACATTCAGCCTCCTTGTCCAAAGCTTGCTAAAACTATGTGATGGTTTAACCGACTGGTTTTCCTCATCCTAGTTTCTCCATCGTGTGGCTCTTGTGGGGAAGTTCTCCCCACCGAGCTGAAGAAAGCACAGCTCTGCTCCGGGAAGCCAGCGATGTCTTGTGTAAGAAGCACCTTAGAAAAGGCAGAGCCTTGGATGCGGTCTGGGAAGCGCTGTCGGTGGGGTTTTTCTGTCTCAATAAGCCAGATGTATGTTCAAAGTCATTCAAGTGGCAGTTTTTATGACGCAATTAAGCCTGCCCCGCTCCCCCAGCCCTTCCCAAAGGTGCAGCCGAAAGCAGACCGCAGGGCGATGTGGAAAACCGACGGCGAGAGGAAGGGTTCGCTTGGCCACAGCTCCGAGTGCAGGCTAATGGGCACGGAGGGAGGCGGGCAGGTCCTTGCTTGCACCAGAATGCAGATGTATTCCACCAGGTTTGATCTTTGGGGAGCCTCAGCCCAAAAAGCCAAGGGTGGGGATTGGTTTGTCAAGTGGTTTTTTATGTGCGTGTATGTTTGCGAGTGACACTTGAGCACCTGGAAACGCACCTCTGCGGGTATCACATCATGAAACGCTCTCTGAACCCCTCTCCGTATGGTCGCTAGGAAGACAGCCCCCACTAAAACCTTCCTTCTCAGATGGTGAGGAGGGGTATGCAGCCCACCCCAACCCCTCCCTCGTGGCACACCATCGGTGCCATGAACGTCCAGCGGTTTGTCTCCGGGTCATACATTTCTACCGAGCTGAGGTTGGACTGTCCGTCATACCCCCCCACCGCGTAGAGACGGCCACAGTTTGCCACCAGGGAGACGCGGCTCCTCCGGGTGTTCATGGGGACAATCAGGTACCACTGGTCCGCCATGGAGCTGTAGACTTCGGCGATGCTGAGGAAGCCCGAGCCGTCGTAGCCGCCACAGACGAACATCTTGCTGCCCAGCGAGGCTGCTCCGTGGCGGCAGCGCTTGTTGAGCATGCTGGCAACCGGGTGCCAGGTGCCCGTGTGGTGGTTGTAGTACTCCACCTGCAGTCACAGAGAGCACACGGCGTGAGGGGACCCTCGCTCCGGACCCACCACACAGTGTGAGCACACAGCCTGTGCTTCATCACACAGCTGGAAACTGATAGAGAGCGTAAGTTTACTCCTTGGTGCCATATACTCAGTTCCCATATTGTTATTGAGCTTTTCCAGCATCCTGGATCCCACCCGCTCCCCCTGCCCGCAGGCCAGGAACTCACTAGCGAGTTCTGGGGGCACAGATCATTCTCCCCATCTGATATATCACAGAAACCACAGCAAACGCAGCTTTGAAGGTTCTCCCTCTACCTCTCTCCCCTTTCATCAGCTTCTCTGTGCTGTTTTAAACAGGGATATGAGCCCCAGCACCAAAAGGACTGGACATCCTTCAATTCAAGTTCAACTGCCACAGGATTGTGTCTCAGTATCAATGTATTCAGTTTCCCCATGCACACACCGTGTTACTGCCCAAAGCAGAACCAGCCAAAGCTCTGTCAGACCCTAAGAGCAACATGTCGAAGCTGTACTTAACAACTCCCTAAGTGTCCCCTAACCTAAAGGGAGACTCTCTCTCCCCCCCCCATAGCACATTTAAGCTGTAACAGTTCAATGTTTCTCATGTTGGATGACCATCACTCGTTATGCGGTTCAAGCCTATGTCCTGCACCCTGTGGCAAAGGGTAGGGCCTCTTTTGAAAGTGCAGTAAAATCCACGTTTGTGGAATGGTTATCTGGGACCTCAGGGGGGAAAACACACCATTCTGAATCGCTTGCATTTGTAGAGAGGCTGTTAGATGGATCCCTTCTGTAAGGGCTCCAGCACTGCCCCAAACTGATGTTCAGGAACGTGCTCAAACAGGATTTGTAATTCTTGGCTCTGGGGTACTTCAGGCTGCAGACAACAGCCTGCCCCAATGTGCTGAGCGAGGCAGAAATACTTATTGCTGCTCCCAGCAAAACCCTTATTACAAATGTTCAAGGGCAGTGCATTAGTGACAGACCCAGCTGGATACAGCTCCTGCATTCTCACTCCTCAGCACATGAACGAGCCTTTTCTGATCTGCAGCAGGTTTGGGTTTTTGGTTTGTTGTTGTTTCTTTTAAAGAAACAGAACCACAGAGCAGGTGAAGAGGACAAGCTAACCTCGTACCACCAGCTCCCCCTGCTGTGAGTCTTGTTTCAGAGATAAAGAATCACAGAATGCTTTGGGTTGGAAGGGACCTTAATACTTACCCAGTTCCGACCCCTGGCCACAGGCAGGGACACCTTCCGCTAGACCAGGTTGCTCCAAGCCCCTGTGTCCAACCTGGCCTTGAGCACTGCCAGGGATGGGGCAGCCACAGCTTCTCTGGGCAACCTGTGCCAGGGCCTCACCACCCTCACAGGGAAGAACTCCTTCCTCAGATCCCATCTCAATCTCCCCTCTGTCAGTTTAAAGCCATTCCCCCTTGTCCTGTCCCTACCTGCCCTTGTCCAAAGCCCCTCTCCAGCTTTCTTGTAGCCCCTTTATGCACTGGAAGCTGCTCTAAGGTCCCCCTGGAGCCTTCTCTTCCCCAGGCTGAACAAGCCCAGCTCTCTCGGCCTGTCTCCATAGTGGAAGTGGTCCAGCCCTCTCAATAATAACGCGTTTCTGAAACTGAAGCCATCAAATGGGCATAGAAAACAAAGGCAGAAGTCTGACATCTAGGACACTTCAAAGCTCTAAGGTATAGAGATGCAATGATAAAATGATTTAAAAAGTGAAGGAAGCAGGGAGACTAGGTCAAATGCACTAGGTCAATCCTTTTGATGCTTTGGGGAATAAAAGCAGCATTTCCAGTCCAGTTCCCAGTGGGTTCCTGACTATCTCACTTCCTCCCGAGCAAGAAGGGCCCGGGAAATGGCAGAATTTAGTGATGCAAACACCCATGGCACTTAAGGTGCACAGGGAAAGGGCACAGAGGTTTCCCAGCTCCAGCCTGACCTTCCAGCTACCTGCTGGAGATGAATCTCTGCCCAAGGCTCGTAGGAACCCGCAGCACCCCACAGACTTACGCTATTGAAGATCTGCAGGCCGTCGTGCCCTCCCGACACGTAGATCCGGCCCTCGAAGACAGTGACTCCAGCGGCGCTGCGGTTGGAGCTCATGGGGGTCACTGCTGTCCACCTTGCCAGGAAAGAGGAGAGGTCAGCAAGACTCCTCCAGGCACAGCACATGGATTTTCTAGGGCTGGGTTCTAGTAACTCTCCATTCACCACCTATTTAAACCATGGTTTTGTTCGCTTGCATCCACGTAAACTCTTGCAAGGAGGGGTGCTGCTCTGCTGTCAAGGCTTTTCTGCATTGATCACTGTATTCCTTTTCTAGCCTGCACCCCAGTAGTGCCACGGCACTATCTTAGCAGCAAACAGATGGATAAGCTGTAGGGCACAAAGAGCTCTTACTTGTTTGTTTCTGGAGAATAGGACTCCACGGAGTTGAGAGATGAGTTTCCATCGTATCCGCCACATACATAGATCTGACCATCCAGCACCACTGTTCCCATAGCACTGCAATGAAGAACGGACACTGTGAGATGGCCCCTCAGTCTATAACACAGTAAATTGGCACAGCCTGCCTTGCCCATTGCCTGCCCTCACCCCCATCACCCCACCAAACCTCCTCCACCTTCTCCCCTGCTTCACCTCCAAGCTGCTCAACTGCTCAATCCCACCTGAACTCCAAGCCTCACAGGCCATGAAAAACTCTTGTGACATATGAACACCCCATTTTCCCAACAAAAAGAACTAAACCAAAACACAGAGAGAAATTTTGATCCACATCCTGGGTCAGAATCTCAGCAATTACAGCTTCCCATGAAGAACCTCCCCACCGCTGCTGGCTGGAGGTGACACTAATGAGGGCCACCGCTGCACAGCTTCAGGAGATGTGCTCTCAAATGTGAAGCTCCTTAAATCAAGGTGCCCAACGCTGTCATTACACCTTGTAAATCACATATTTGGCTTTTAGAGGCAAATGGGACACTTCAAACTAGAATCCCACCTTGGAAATGTAGTCAAAACTTCCTGTAAAAGCTTGGCAACACAATCCTTTGTGATAAAACCACAGCACCACAGCTGGAGTCGAGGAGTTTGTACAATAACCAACATTCTCATCTGCACGAAGAGTGCCTGATGTTTGTTATACTTCACTGCAAGGCAGAACAACCCAATCGTGGAAGAGCAACTGCCTCTCACTGTGGGAAAAGCTCCCGGGAACCTCCTTCCTATGGAAAAAACTGAGCTGTTTTGCTACAAATCAGAGCCTTATGCCCAGGATTTCATGTACTCAACCACTTGCAGTGTGCTCTTCCCAAGTGATCAACATCTTGGACCACAAAACACCAAGACAGACAAACCCTCATGGTAAAGAAGTGCTGCAAAGCTTGCAGAAAAGTGAACAATTTAACAACTCTCAGTGACCAGGCATGAGTGCAAAGGAAACCGCAGCAGAAACCCTGGAAGATGTTTAAACATGAAAGTGGTGGGGACGACAGGATGACCACACAACTTAAATAGGGGGGTTTTCAAAATGAGGCAGGATAAGCTCCCAAACCACACAGCGGTTGAGAGCCATGCAGCTCTGTCCAGCGAGCACAAACACCTTCTGCTTAGCAGTAAAGTCTTCTCCCTCCTCTTCTCCTTCCCAGCTGTAATTTTCTTATGATTTCTGGTAGGGAAGGAAAATGCCAGCACTGGCCAGAGATGGTAAACCAAGTTTATCTGACTCTGAGCAGCACAGGAGTTTTCTACACGGTGCTCGCCAGTGCTTCACCTACCATCTAGTATCATAATGTGAAGAAATGAGGCTCTGACCGTGTCCTTTGGGACTTCAGTTCAAACCCTTACATGTTTCACCAGCAGAATCTCATCGCTCTTGATTTCACTCCCTGAGGCCACCAAGCCCAAGATCTCTGTAGCTTACAGCCCACAGTGCTCTGCTGCTTTTACTTACCGAGGTCTTAACAGCTTTCCTGGTAAATCAGTGCTGTGATGCACTGAAGTAATTTTGTTGGGCTGCTGAAAGTTTCCCTCTCTTACCAGCAAGCAGTTCCCAGAATCAGCATGAGTGCCTCAAAGGTGGCCAAGCAAATCTCACATGCTTCCATGTTGCTCCACTCCTCCTTGTTCCTTTTGCTCCTTCATCACACCACCCAACACCTCCAGCCTTCCTACAACCTCATTTCAACCCCCCTCGACCTTCAAAGGCTCCCTGCCCACTGAGCAAGCTGCACATACCTTCGCTTGCTGTTCATGCTTTCCACTTTGGACCAGGAATCCATCTCTGGGTTGTAAACCTCCACAGTGCTCAGCCTCAGCTGACCGTCGTAGCCGCCGATGGCATAGAGGAGTCCATTCACCACTGCTACCCCAACTCGGCTCCGGGCTGTTGTCATTGGCTGGCACTTCTCCCAGCGGTTGGCAATGGGATCAAAGACTTCCACCACGTTCAGAGAGTCACCTGCATAAAAATTTGCTACTCAAATTAAAAGGGGGAGATCTCCTAAAGCACTGTTCTAGCAAGCTTGCCTGTACCAGAGGTGAATGAAGTGATTGCTGCTCTCACCCCAAAGATGTGGCCGACACCAGGAATTTGCTCTTCTCTGGGGAAATGCCTGGGAAACATCGTATGTCCTACTCTGAGATACTACGGATTGTATTCCAGCCTCCCTGCTCCCACATCAAAGTCAAGTCAGGGGCATATTCCAGCAACATCTCTATTCACCTCTGAAAAATTTACATAAAGTGCATTCTGCAATGCAAACTGATCACAGAGTGGTTCAAAGCTCGCCCATGCTCTGTGCCGTAACACTTGACAAGATCTAGGCTGTGGAATTGGGACCTATTATAACCTCAGAGTGGCAGTAGAGACCTGCAGTGGCACAAACAGGCTCTGAGGGCTGGAGCACCTCTGTTATGAAGGCACACAGAGAGAGCTGGGTTTGTTCAGCCTGGAGAAGGCTCCAGGGAGACCTCAGAGCAGATTTCAGTGCCTAGAGGGGTCAACAAGAAAGCTGGAGAGGGGCTTTTGACAAGGGCAGGTATGGACAGGACAATGGGGAATGGATTTAAACTGACAGAGGTGAGACTGAGACGAGATGTGAGGAAGAAGTTCTTCCCTGTGAGGGTGGTGAGGCACTGGCACAGGTTGCCCAGAGAAGCTGTGGCTGCCCCATTCCTGGCAGTGTTCAAGGCCAGGCTGGATGGGGCTTGAAGCAACCTGGTCTGGTGGTTGCACTAGACCTGGTTGCACATGTCAAGGGGTTGGAACTGGATAATCTTTAAGGTCCCTTTCAAACCAAACCATTCTGTGATTCTATGACGATCCCACACCCCAATACCACCACGCAGACACTCCAAGTTCATGTTGCTATAGGCAAGGTCGCCACCTTCAAAATATTGATTCTTTAAGAATACTGTCCTAAATAAACTTGACTTAAACAGAATTTTTAGCTGGAAGATGTTAAAATAGGGGCATAGCCACCCTCAGCTTTTCAGTGGAAGGGTCAAAGTGCAAGACAGGGGAGAAACTGCTCAAGGCTTCACAAGAGAAGTCTATGTGATCCTATTGTCCCATCCAGCAGACTAGCCTGCTCTCTCCAACATGGGGAGCAGATATGCAAGGTACCTGCTGAGTTCAGTCCTCCGACAGCATAAATAAGTCCTGCGATCGATGTACAGCACCGAGGACGGGTCTTGAATGCGGGGAGATGTGGCCGGCGCTCTGGCATGAGGTGATAGTCTTTTGCCTCGTCAACCAGGTCCCTGAAATCAAAGCCAAATAATCAAAGAGCTCAGCTGACACGAAGAAATCTGTCTTAAGTCAGATGCAGATTTAAGCAACTGCCTTTCCCCCCCCATGGCCGGTACTTCTAGAAGGCAAGGTGGCCCCACTGCCAGGTTAAAACTGGGGAGGGTGCTTTGGATTTGTGCTGTTATCTGCGATCTGTCTGGTGAGGACCTCTGTTAACAGAAAGTGAGAATTCCAGTCTTCAAGACTTCTAAATCACATTCCTGCACCTCCATCACACTGACAGGCACCACCCCTGTGGTGGTTTTCTAACCCCACATCCAAGCCTCACCTGCATTTGTGGCAGCAGCGGACCAGGTCATCTTGTTGCACGCGGTCAGTGAGAAACTGAGGTCGACAAAGGGGGAGGCGGATTTTGGACAGGAGCTCGGGTAAGAATGACTCTCTCTGGTCTCGGTCATACCGTATCCAAGCTAATGCAGCTTCAAACACCTGCAGGAAAAAGAGGCATGGGAAGTTGGAGTTTTGGGATTCATTTTTATTTCTGCAAGGTCCTACCGCTGCCAGTTGTCTGATGGAAAAGAAACCACGTATTGGCAATGATCTTCTCTTGCTCACAGGTGACGTGGTTTCAGTACAGAACAGTGATGCTCTATACAGTGCCAGAAGGATGTGAAACTGTTGGAATGAGTGCAGAGGAGGCCATGAAGATGCTCCAAGGGCTGGGGCACCTCTACTATGGAGACAGGCTGAGAGAGCTGGGCTTGTTCAGCCTGGAGAAGAGAAGGCTCTGGGGAGACCTTAGAGCAGCTTCCAATGCCTAAGGGGGCCAACAAGAAAGCTGGAGAGGGGCTTTTGACAAGGGGAGGTGGGGACAGGACAAGGGGGAATGGCTTTAAACTGACAGAGGGGAGACTGAGATGAGTTGTGAGGAAGAAGTTCTTCCCTGTGAGGGTGGTGAGGCCCTGGCACAGGTTGCCCAGAGAAGCTGTGGCTGCCCCATCCCTGGCAGTGTTCAAGGCCAGGTTGGACAGGGTTTGGAGCAACCTGGTCTGGTGGAAGGTGTCCCTGCCTTTGGCAGGGGGGTGGAATTGGATGGGCTTTAAGGTCCCTTCCAACCCAAACCTTTATGTGATTCTACAGTCACCAAAGGACTCTCCTGTTGAATGACGCTTGGGTGGCTTGGCCTTGGCATTGCTTTCTCTGCCTCCAGCTTAGCCCGCAATAATACTGATCTACTGTCCCATGGGATGGGATGTTTAATACGAATGTTTTCAGGGAGATGAGGAAGCTGGGAAGAGAATTCTAGTACAGGAGGTGGGGCAGAATGAAAACCTTCTTTATTTAGTGTCAAAAAATAAACCAGGGAAAAAGAGAGAACGGCGCTGCTGGAGGCGCAGACCTCTCCCAAGCACTGCTCACTGCTCTGTTTTGGATGACTCCAGACTACAAAGGAGCCTGGTGACTACTTTAATTGGAGACATGTACTCCTTGGCTCACGGGACTCTCACAGTTGAAGCCTGAGCAGGGTTGTCCTTCTACACTCTTGCTCTTACATTCAGGTGACCACATCCAACTCCTGCCACGGTCTTCTGAGGTAGAGCTCCTACTGAGCACAGTGTCCTCAGCAGATAAGCTGCACTGCAGTAAAATACTGCCATTTCTGAAGAGGGGGGCTGGCATATGGGGCAGAAGGAAGCATCACCATGGATGATTCTTTAGACTCCTACCTGCTCCACAAAGGATCCACTTGGTCAAAACAGCAAGAGACCAATCTGTGGTACGATATAGCAGTGTGGAATGTGAAGCAGGTTCCCTTCCCTCCCTATTTCAGACAGCCTGATTAACAAAGCGCTCTCTTACCCTACATGGAGATAGCTGTAGGTCTGCTTTTCATTTGTCACCTCCTTAGTAACCTCCTTGGAAAAGGCAGGACAGATTTCCTGGCTCGATGACAGGCTGTTTCTCCTGCAAACTGTCAGCCCACCACTGATGGATTCTCAAGGCTGCTGTAACGCCCTAAAGCTGTTCAGCCCTGCTTTCTGTTTGGGTTTTTATTTTTTCTAGGAACAAGCCAGTCTAGAGGAGGCTCCTGATGGCAAATCCAGTGCAACATTTGTTACGAAACGCTGCAGCACTCACAGCAAATTCATTACACCTCAAAAGCATTCCTCTGGACTTGAACACGAGCTCTAAGGGCTCCCTGCTGTTGCCTACACTCCTGGGCTCTCTCCCCAGGACCAGCAACTTAATGACAGTAAGGGACACAGCTGAAGGTACTCAGAACCTGGCTCTGTCAAGCACCTGTTAGCGTCCCTGGTGTGCCAGGACATCTCCGCTTCATTCAGACCTGGAAAAGGGTCATGTCCCATTCCACTTCCAATCAACCACAAAGTCTCAAGTTAAAATCAGCCTCAGCTGAGACCCACACCAGGTACACACCTGCTCTTCAGACTTCACATTGAGCTCATCCCTAGAAACGAGCTCCAGGACATCTTCAAAAGGCAGTGCCAGGAACTCTTCAGACATGGATACCTCCACGAAGTGCTGATGAATGAAGCTGTTGGCAGCATCGTAGAGCACCGCACACATCATTGTCTCTGCAAACTGCCGCACTCCCAGACAATTCTTAGGGTGAAGCCTGGGAAAGCGGGCAGGAGGTTAAACATCAGCTTAAGGGAAAAACAAAAGGAATTACAAACAGGTTCAGTGAAGCAATGCAAGCAGAGGATACATGATGCAGTGAAAGCCACGGCTCTGTACTCTTCAGCAATGGCAAGCTCCAGCTCATTGATGAAGGAGAGGACCTTAAGGCTCATCCACTTACAACCTCCTGCAATAGGCAGGGACACCTTCCACCAGACCAGGTTGCTCCAAGCCCCGTCCAACCTGGCCTTGAACACTGCCAGGGATGGGGCAGCCACAGCTTCTCTGAGCAACCTGTGCCAGGGCCTCACCACCCTCACAGTAAGTTTTCTGTGAAAAAGAGTCATCTTTTCTCATCTTATATCTATTCTAAGTACTACAGAACATCATCTGTTACAGCTTCATAAAGTCATTTCCTCTGGCTTTCAGCAACCTGGTCTAGTGGAAGCTGTCCCTTCTTGTGGCAAGGGGCTGGAACTAGATGAGTTTTAAGGTCCCTACTAACTCGAATCAGTCTGGCATTCTGTGGCCCTCAGGGCTCACACAGGGGTTGGTTACAGCACTGTGGACTTGTCTGTGCACAGGTGCCTAAAAACATCCCATGTCTTAATTCCCTTCTAGAATGAGAGCTGAGTGTGCACATTCCAGCCCTTCAGGACGGTCAGAGTCCACTAATTTTCTTGTTACTAACCAAAGTGACAGCTACACAAGCAAATTCAGGACTTAACGTGGGACACCCGGTTTCTCCTGGTAGAGTTGGGAGAACTATAGCGGCTAAATCTGAGAAACCAAAGTACCTCGTTTAATCTATATATAGATAGAACTACCTAAAGCTAGTCAGGACTCAAACTGTCATATCCAGTATCTCACATAAAATGCTTTTTGCAAGAAAAATGAATACTCTGTAGTCTTAAGTAACTTAATTTTAAACCAACTGCAGAAATTCAGGATGCACAGGGGGACTGAAAATTGAGACATCTTAAACACGGAGGAAAAATATGTTTTCACCCTACCCTGTGGTTTTAGGATACCTCTATTTGGATGTGAAGGAAAATAAGTGGCTGAGATGTTCCATTTAGTCGGTAGGTATGTTTAATATCACACCATGGAATATGCTGAACAGCTGCAGAGAAATCAGGCTGAGGAAGCTAAACACGTAAGACTCCCTGGCACGATGTGAAAATGCGTGTGGTGCGTTTCCAAGGAGTAGTCCAGCTTTTCGTTTCCCAGATCCTGCTGCTGGAACAGTCTGGCAGCCAAACACCAGCAAGGGAACTGAAAAAAACCTGGGACCGATTTAAGGTTCTGCCACAGCTTCCTGGCCGGCTCCTTGGCTGGGTCCCTTTGTTCCTCCTCTCTTACACATGCAACTGCAGAGAGGGTAATTACTGCAAGGGTGGGTTCATTAGCGGTAGAGGCAGTCACGCAGCACTGTGATGGGTAACCAGCTAGTTAACTCTTACAGGGAAATGCTCACTTGCTTTTGCTTTAGGTATTATTTCCTGTGGCTGGCCAAGGCCCTATATTGTGTCCCAGCTGTAGCATCTTGTAAGCCAGGTAAGTTACAGGGAATGAGAATGATGAGTCTTGGGAGATGCAGAGCTCCTTATCACACTGGCAGGAGACATCCTGCTTCCTCCCAAGCCAGACAGAGATGACTAAAACCTTGCTGCTGTTGGGGAGTAGCAAGCACAGCCAAAGGACACCCCCTTACCTCTCTCTGAGGAAAGTGCAACAAGCATCTTTGATGTTTTGCAGCTGAAGGAAACTTGCCCCCATCAGCAGAGACTGCACGTTCTGCTGATCTATGGCCAGGTGACCGTTGTAGGCAAAATTGATCAGAGCCTCAAGTGCACTAAAAATGGGGGAGAAAGGGCAGAAAATGCATTGAATTCAAGTCAGCTCAGGACCCTACTAACAGAAAAACCTTTTCTAGCGCCATTCACACAGCAGGTAGGCTTTCAAGCCTTGCACACACAACACTGAGGCTCACGGAGTGCTCCTGATGCCTCTGGAGATCCTGGCTTGTGTGCATTGGGACATTACCTGGGATCCATCCCCTGCATGACAATCTCATCCTGCTTGCACTCCATCATGTCATTGGTGAACATGGCGTGGAAGTACGGGATAGAAGCCGCTAGCACGATCCGATGAGCACTGAATTTATGGTCCCCTACCTAAAAAGAGAGAAAAGGGGAAGGAGGGAAGATCAGCACCATTGATTCCAACCACATGGTCCAGATAACTTAGTGTAAAACAGCTCTGCCAGCCCAGCAGTAACTGAGGGCTGAAAACTGGGCAATTTCTATTTGCAAGCAGGACTGCAGACTGTCTTTTACATTCAAACTTTTAAAACCAGTTTTCCAGCCATATAAGCAGCCACAAGTGGTCAGCTAGGCAAAGACAGAGTGGGTCATCTTCAGATTGCTAACAAAGCACGGCCAGGGTCACAGAACCATGTTTACACAGATCAATTCAGTATTCAACTGCAAGCACGGATTTCAAACCCAGATCTGTGCCAAGCAGGGGGAAGAACCAGGAAATCCCAAGCACAACACAGGCTGGGGGAGACTGGATTGAGAGCAGCCCTGAGGAGAAGGACTTGGGGGTGTTGGTCCATGAGAAGCTCCCCATGACCTGGCAGTGTGCACTTGAATGGATGCCACAAAGATGCTCCAAGGGCTGAAGCACCTCTGATAGGGAGACAGGCTGCGAGAGCTGGGCTTGCTCAGCAGGGAGTTTGAGCTAAACGATCTTTAAAGTCCCTTGCAAACCAAAATATTCTATGCTTCTATTAAAAATTCCTCCAGGCCCTGCTTCAGGTAACACCTTCTCCTACCAGCTGGCAATCACAGATCCCACATCACCCATCTGATCCCAGGACAAGCTGAGCACAGCCATGCAGGCTCAGCGCAAAGCCCCGCACTGTGATTACTCTGCAGAACTAAAAGCTGGGTGATGCAGCTGCCCATTTCCTCTTCCTTAGCTCTTCCTCTGAGCCAGTGATCGACTTACAGGTTAAATCCCATGCACTTTTCTTCTTGTACCCTCAGGTTATGCTCACAGCTAGTCACCTTCACTATAACCCAGAAGCTCATACGGGCTCATCATTCAATCTCCGCAGGTTCACTTTCACCAGCTCCGCTATACCTGCCTTCATTTACATCCTTCCTAGTCCATACAGAGTGAGGCTTGGAAGGGCCTTCTTGCACCTCCAATTCCACTTCTCACTCCTCCCACCTCCTACATAAAGACAGGCTGAGAAAGTTGGGGCTGTTCAGCCTGGAGAAGAGAAGGCTGCGTGGAGACCTCATAGCAGCCTTCCAGTATCTGAAGGGGGCCCTACAGGGATGCTGGAGAGGGACTCTTCATTAGGGACTGTAGTGATAGGACAAGGGGTTCAAACAAAAACAGGGGAAGTTCAGGTTAGATATAAGGAAGAAGTTCTTTCCTGTTAGGGTGGTGAGGCACTGGAATGGGTTTCCCAGGGAAGTTGTGAATGCTCCATCCCTGGCAGTGTTCAAGGCCAGGTTGGACAGAGCCTTGGGCTGGTGTGAGGTGTCCCTGCCCATGGCAGAGGGGTAGAACTGGATGATCTTAAGGTCCTTTCCAACCCAAGCCATTCTATGATTCCTGCAGATACTTTCTCCTCTTCTGAACTACACAGCTCTTCAATTACTTCTCTCTGATGGTTCTGAGCTTTTTCCTCCCCTAATTTCCAGGCTAACCTGACTCATACCAGTCTCTACCCACCCCAGATTGTGCAGAACTGCCCTTTTTCCCCACTTCAGCAAGATTTTCCCATTTGAGCTTTGTTTTGCTGGGACAAGCTGGAAGAGCAAGTCCTTTACTCTTCAGATCATCCAAGAAGCACTTCTCTTCTCCTCCTTACTTCTCTACAAAAAGCTTCATCACCCTTTCATGTCTGGGCAGCTTATTAACAAAAATGTTGCTTGCATTCAGGTTTTCACTGTTCCCAGCAGTGCCTTGCCTCTCCCTCTAGGCCCAGAGCTCTCACACCCTCTAAATACAACTTGCTAGGAGCTCAGAAAGTGGAATTCCTGACACATGGAAAAGAAAAAAAACGAGGAACTGGGCACTAAACAAGATGCATAAGCAAGCAGGATATTCTTTTTTCTTAAACAAAAGCATATTCAAGTGCCACAAATGCTGTTAGAAGATATTCCTTTAAAACCAGCCTGACCACCCAGCTGCTCGCTGTGCGTGCCTGCCTGCACGACGGCCAGGACTTGCAAACATTTGGAATGTGGTCAGCTTGTGGCACTGCATGCCTGGGGTGCAGGGGCAAGTCTGCTCTGCATGAGCTTCCCGGTTTTAAACAGTGCTCCAAACATCCAGTCAAACTGCTCCCAAGACCCGCTCCAGCCTGGTAGTGGCAGGTCCACTTCTGGAGAGCCTTGTGTCAGTCCTGATGAGCTCAGGTGTGCTTGAATCCATGCTCTCCACTGTGCCTGGATTACCCTGCACTAATCCCACTGTCCTGGATTTTGCAGAGTTCTCAATGTCCAGGGCAAAAGCAGCAAGTGAAATGGTATGGACTGTTGTAGCTCATGGGAAAGAACCCTCACATATACACTTGTATGGTGACTTGGACACTGGCACAGGTTGCCCAGAGAAGCTGTGGCTGCCGCATCCCTGGTAGTGTTCAAGGCCAGGTTGGACACAGGGGCTTGGAGCAACCTGGTCTGGTGGAAGGTGTCCCTGCCTGTGGCAGGGGGTTGGAACCGGATGAGCTTTAAGGTCCCTTCCAACCCAAAACAGTCTGTGATTGTCAGCTCAGGAAAGCAAGCTCAGGATGGGTAAAAAGCAGCATCAACCCCTTCTACTAACCCAAAACTACACGTAAAACATCCCATCAGCTCAATGACTCAACTGCTGTGCCACAAATACCAGCAAACATGCTGCTGCTCTGTTCTCTTCCCTGCTAACTCGATCATTAGTTTATCTCATGCTTTACCTCCAACCCCTGCCCTCCTGAGCCCAGCAGAAACCAGACTATGATAGGGACAGAGGCATGAATAAGAGTGCTTGCTTGGCAGATGAATGCTAAGATGATATTCCATGAGAGAGAATGAAGAAGCAGAAAAGAATAAAGTAATGAAAGCACGAGGACAGATATTTATAGCAGCAAGCTGGGAAGTACAAGCATGTGAATTAAGACAGCAGCTCTACCGCTGCTACAGCAGCAAGAGTTCTACCCCGGTACAGGCATAGCCCATGCTCCCTCAACATACAGAATCGTCGGTAGAATCTTTGTGTGCATGCAGCAGGACAGGGAATCTCTGGCACAAAGAGTCGGGACTGCTAATACTTGCAAAGGAGCCCGTGGTCAAAGAGGGGACGGGGCTCAAGGCCACAAGCCCCAGCCCTGTTTACGTAATGAATGTTTGCAGAGCAGGGCTCCCCACCCTGACTTTACACAGCCTCTTGTAAGTGAGTGCAAACTCTGGCCTGGCCTCTCTACCACGAGGTTCAAAACCACTTCTAAATACACTGAGTTTAAAGCCCACAAGAGGAAGGAAGCGATTCAAGAACCCGTGCACCCCTGAAAGCTGTCAAAACCTCCCTGTGTCCATAGTGGTGGGGTTTCCATTTCCTTACTGCACACAGCTAACTGCCAAGTCGAGCACACGTGCACGTGAACAACTTCGCTTCTGTTCATCTCTCCATGCGAGTGCCTGACCAAGGTGCTGCCCACTGAGAGAAGCTTAAGAGGCACAGGATGCGGATAGGTAAATAAGGAGACCTGGGTGCTGAAGCTCTTTGTTTGGGACCTCTTGCTGGGGAAAAGTTTGTGTGTGACCAGCCACAACCTGGTTGACCGCAATGAGTAACTCGCTGCTCAGCCTGTCCACGTTCCAGCCCTGGGGCTCAGAAATGCCAGACCTGCTCGACAAGCTCCGGCACTTCTTGGCCTGTTCCTACCAGTGGATGAAGCCGCTCCACCAGCCTCATCCACTCCAGCAGCCATGCCCACAGCAGCTTTATTGGCCCAGCTTGTCAATGGAAGGTAAACACCAACAAAGCTAAAGACATGGGTCTCATGTTTTACTTGTCTCATTATGCAGTGTGTGCTTGCAGCCCAGAAGACCAGTGGTGTCCTGAGCTGCATCAAAAGGAGCACGGCTCCTCAAAACCAGATCTGTGTGTTGAACAGCCACCTACACCATGCTGGGATTTCCCACTCCTTGAACATCTCACCAGCACTGCTCCTGCTTCCCTCTCCACCAAACACAGTGCTTCCCATGGTGGGATGTATTAAGCATAGAATCACAAAATGGCTTGGGTTGGAAGGGACCTTAGAGATCATCCAGTTCCACCAAATGGCCCCATTATCCTTGTTAATGCACCTTGTTATTGCAAACCCAATAATTTATAGTCATTCAGCAAGATTCCTGACGGGTTAATGAGAGCTGTATCATCACAGGGATGAAATACTTTGTGTCTGGGCAGCAGCACCACCCTTCCAGATCCAAGCTACTCAGCAGCTCAACAGGACAGGATTGTTTCCCCAGTGGGGTTCTCACCCTTCATCAAGGAAAAGCTTTCACCTTGGGGAACACCCCATTTAACAGATTAACTGCACTGGGGATGACCCTGCACAGGCAAGGCAGGGCTTGAATCAGTTCTGGTTACCTACAGGGCTCAACTTCCTGCCCCAGCTTGGTCCCTATCAGCACGTGGGATGCAGCTGGACAACACAGATGAAGCCATGCTGTTCACAACTGCTTCACTTGTGCTGGTGCTTGCACGACCCTGCTGTTCAGGGAAATAAAACTGAAATAAGCTGTGCAAAAAGGGGAATAATTTTCTGCTATCAGAGCAGGAGAAAGGGGGCGGACTGGGACTGGACCCTGTCAGCAGCGAGACCCACAGAGCTGCATCAGCAAAGAGCTGATCCACGCTGTGATTGCCACCAACTGAATGGAAACTATTTCCTGGTACTGGACAAGATAAAACCTGTGTTTCCTTTTGCTTTTTTAAACTTGCTTGTGTAATGATAAAGGGGCCTCAGGGAGATTTATAAATTGAGATTTCTGGTCTAGAAGCTATTATTATGTTCATACCAGCAGCACTTAATGGCAAGTCCCGAAGGAACAACTGCATTTCTTGCTGCAGGTGAAGGACCATACCTGTTTTTCCTGCAGAAGATGAA